CTAATCTAGTCAGCTTATAACAATAAAAATGAAGAAATGAAACAGAAGTATAATAATAGAACAATAAAATAAACAAAAAGAACACAATGGGAATATATTAATATGATAACCAAATGGAAGGGTGGAGAGGGAAGAGCAAGGGGGAAGAAGGGAGACTGAAATATAGAGGCATGGGGGGGGAGGATAGCAATTGGTAGCAACGCCTGTATTTTGGAATAGCTTCCTTGGTTGAGATTGTCACCCACATCTTGATTTCTTCCAGCAAGGTGCTAAAACCTGGGCTCTTTTTATAGATCGACTGGTACCATCTAAACTGAAAATATGTATTGCCAATAAGCCCTTAGTATGATTTTATTCTATTTAATTTTTAACCTTGTTTTTGTTGTTTTGTATACTGCAGTGCTATTTACTGCTGATGTATTATCTGTACAGCATTATTAACCATCGGGACTCCTACATGATTCAGAGGAATATAGGCTGAATAAATAAAAGTGAGCAGAAACATGCTCTTACGCACAACCATTTTCATTTTTTTTAAACTCTCCAACAGTTTTTACACAGAACTGTTTATACAATACATTATCTAACAGGGTATACTAATGTTACATAGAATTTTAACTTTCATTATTAGCTTTTAATAAAAATGATATTATCATTTTAGCATGGCATTCATGCCTCCTTTTGAAGTTCATGAAATCATGTTTTCCTTTTAGCCATAGCCATTGCTCCCCCCCCCCCATGCAAAACCTAGTATATTTGGAAACTAAACTACATCCTGGAGTCCTTGAGTGTTGCAAGTGTTAAAAAACAAGTCCAGATAGGAAAGGAGAAGCTGCAACATATTTTAAGGATGTCAGAGTTTTCTCATGACTAATGAAAATCTTTATAGTTGGTTATTGACGGATCACATGTATAAACATATGCATCATTTGTTTCTGTATGCTATATAAAGACTTGTCCCCTCTTAATAAAATGCCTTTCGCTTTGCCTAAAATACTTGTGGTTCATACCGGAGGAGATATGTGTGTTAAACAGCCACTTTATCAACGTACTGGGTGTTTCTCTCTCAAGTTCAGGAACCAGGTTTGTTCCAGCTTCAGGCCAATTCAGGTATCTGAGTCTCAAAGGCAGCACTACCATGCAAATAATTATCATGTTCATTTTCTGATAATTGTCACTCAATTTAATGTTTCAAAATTTTGTATACTTTTTAATAAAATGATGTCGTATAAAATGCTTTCTGTTAAGACTCCACATAGTTTCATTCATCTCCTAACTTGTTTTATACTCATTTGTGTGTGTGTGTCCATATTCTTATTAATTAGCTTGATATAATATTACAATACTTATTTAGAGATATAACTATCGATATAACAACGATAACTGAAAAACAGCAATAGCCCGCTAAGGAATATATTTACTAAACGTAAATTTTTCAATGGTCTCCTATTGTATGTTTATTTCTTAATAAAACATTTGCTACAGAATTACAATAGAGCTTGTAATGTGCAACATGTGCAATGTAATATACAATACATACTTCTTTAACAGAATGATCAAAATGGCAACAAAAATATATTTTACAGTATTGTTAAAAAATTATACTATTGCTAACAAGATCAAACTGTTCCTTTGTCTTATAGTGAAATTGTCATTTTTTTTCTTTTCCTGCAAGTAGTTGTGCAACAAAGTATCAATCTGATTTTAAAAGAAATAAGTTCCTCTAACTGAGGAAATCATTGAAGTTTTCAAATAGTATAATCCATTTCTAAGATTTTTATGTATAAACCTATTGCCATTCAGTAATTGTAATATTATTTGTAGGAGTATGGCAGAATAAAACATTTAACTGAGTAGGTATTTATAGTTTATAGTTAGTATTTATCTTCTTTTTCTTACTTTAGGGTGCTAATATCTGGATTTGAGGGTGCTAATATCTGGACTGTGGAAATCAGGCCTTTATTAGAATCTAGATTCTTTGTGGATATTACCAGTGGATATTATCTGCAGCTTTGAAGTTTCCTCTAGGTCTGTCATTTGGTTAGGCTGCTGATGGGTACCTGGGGTGTTTTGTCCTCTGGGATGCTATTTGGCTTTAATTCATCTCTGATTATAAGCAATTTATGCATTTTATCTGTTTTATATAAACATCAAAGGGAGTACAGATGCCTACTATGCAAGCCCCATTACAGATAAAAAGATGGCAGTGTGATCTTATTTAGTTTTAGTATGATTCTCTTCAGCTCTCTTTTACAGTTTTAATATACAGTGGTAAGTAATATGTGTTACTATGATAGGGATATTCTAGTATATGGTTATTAATACTTCAGATTTTGCAGATAATTACAATATATACATTGCCAAAGAAAAAACACATTACTGCTTTTTTCAAAAGTAAAAAGATACAGCCACTTTAAAAGAAAAATATTATCAATACTTGGCATCCACTATTAATGGATGTATATAGTCAATAGTATCTACTGAGATAAATGTTTCTTCTACAAATTTGATTTGGGGGGAGTAAGAGCTTAAAATGTTTATTGTCCAATAATTAGCAAATATTTGTGTGATCTTTGTCCTCCTACAACATGGATTTTATTTAGATTTACGCTCCAAGATATTCTGGCTTTCATTTAAAAAAATGCCCAGCCAGCCAGATTAATTTTATTTTTTTGCAGTCAGAAATTCTAAAATTGACCATCTAATTGTAAAATTTTATTCTAGAGCAAAGAATTCTATTTTAGCCTCTAACAGTTCTGTACATGTAAGGAATTATTGTACCATATCTTTTTATGTACATTTATTCTGAGTTCTGTTCCATGACCATAATAGAACCATAATATGTATGAATCAAATATTTATTAAGAATTATAAAACTGAGACAACAAAGTGATAGAAGAAGGATTTAATTCATGCTCCATGGAACCATATATACCCTATTTCAGTACTGGGGGAATGATGGTAATCAATGTTTTGAGATTCACTCAAAATCTTCCCTGATACCAGGAAGTTTACAGAAACACTATGACATAATCTTCCCTTAATTTATTAGATTACTACTATTGTGCATGTATATCAAAACATGCAGCAAGTATTCAAATATATTTTAAAGAATCATCTTTAATCACTAGAAGCTGACCCTCAAGTAAAATTATTGCTTTGGAAAATTTAATTTCTCCACAGTCTGGGCAACATAATTTAAATAATAATGACTATGGGCTAAAATTGAAGTTATGCTACACTTTGATTTGGGAAATTGAATAATAGTGTAACTGTAGGAAAAGGAGTGGCAGAATCTGGGGGTGGAGTTAAAAGAGAGATCAGCCTAAAATCACTATGTAACAGCAAGTGGGCTAGGATTCCATGGACTCTTATCTAACTCCAAGCAAGTGCTAACAGTTAGTTGAGAAGATTCCTATGTATAGGTTTTTTAACAATAAACCAGTGTAATTGGATCTTCACATGTGGACCTGATCTTTCATATCTGACAATAATTTTAGTTAATTCCAAATGTTTGGTCCAGGGAGCCGATTTAGGATGATATAAGCAAGAACTTACACAATAAAGTCCCCCCCCCCCCAATCCATTGAATACAGTAGTGGCCAAAATTGTGGAAATCTTTTGGGAAAAGTGTACATTTAAGGTTTGATGGCTAATAACACCACTTTTTTTTTGAAGTAGAACCATAAAATTATATATCAATGGAAAGATAATTTAATCAAGAATGTAATGCAATAGGTTTTATGAAGGATTGCTATTAAAATAGCAGTTATAAAGAAGAAAAGTGAAACACGTAGAAAAACATGATATACAAAAATTATCACCATAAAAAAAATGAGACATACAAAAATTATCACTATGTCAGATAATACTTAGTTGGGTAACCTTTAGCATGAATCACGGCCTTACAACATCTTCCCATGGAGTGAACCAAATCCTTTAGTTCCGCAGCTGTTACAATGTGAAACCAAGATTGAATGATTGCTTCTATTAACTGAATTTTATTGCTGGGTCACTTCTGACTAACAAGTTTCTTTAGTTGGCTCCATAGATTTTCAATTGGGTTAAGGTCTGGGCTATTCCTAGGCCATTCCAGCAGTGGAACATGATTATCTTGAAACCACTTTTTGCACACAGCAGCAACATGACATGGAGCTGAATCCTGCTGAAATATAAATGCTTCATTGTTTTGGAAAAGATCATGTATGGAAGGCCTTCCACAGATTAAAGGAGCATTTTGGTCAAAAGAAAATCAATTAAAAAAAACCATACACATATGATAAAATGATAAGATTATCATTATTAATCACTTAAATTGATGAAACTTTTGCAAATCTATAACTAAAAGTAAGCTTGAAATTAACAGAAATTACTTTGGCATAATAATACAGCAAACTGTGTTATCAGCATTATGATAAGAAGAGAGTTCAGTTAGAAAACTATTAAGTATTCATTTTTAGTCACAATTCAATAATATTGTAACTACAATACTTTGACAATATAAATTAAGAATCAATTGGTACAGAAAAAATTCATTGTGACTTAAAATAGAGTTCAATTAATTTCAGTGTAAAAATTAGGCCCATTTATAACAATTTTATTGAAAAATAACATTTATATACATTTGGTAATATTTTTCACTCACCTAAGAATATAACTATATGCATTATACTGTCTCAGATTTTTTTAAATTGAGTGGAGCACTTCAAAATTAGCAATAATTTCGATACCAGTTTCTTTTAATATATACAAATATAGACAACCCTCCCCAAATGCTAACATATTGTACAGAGTTTAGGGCAATAATCAGAGATTTAAGTCTCTATGTTTTAGACCTCCTAAGTATTAAAACCCAATTTGGATTTTTCTGTTTCAAAATAAGAAATTAATATCTCCAATCTTACCCTAAAAAAACTACTTATTGTTTTAAGTTAAAAATAGTAATAATATTGATTCAAGATCATAGTATTTTGAACATTAAAATTGTATTCTTTACTTACCCGATTAAGATAACTAAATTCAAAGATTTTTTTTCTGAATAAAGAAACATAAGACTGCAACAGAAATTCCGGACGTTCTGTACCAAAATATAAGGAATAAATGGAATCAGGAACTGCAATATTTGCTCGCATTTTTTTTTTTTTTTTTATTGAAAGTTTTATAAATTTTACAAAAAAAACAAGAACAGTACAAAACAAAACACAACATATACAAAAAAAACCTAAACATTACATATAACCCCCCCCATCCCCCACCCCTCACATACACCCTCCCTTCCCCCCCCCGAGCTTCCCAGAGCAGAATATAGGCTTAATTAAAAATTAACAAATAAAAAATTTAATTAAAAAATTTATATTTATATATAAAAAAATATCTATATGTAACATTAATATATATATATAAATATATATATATATATATATATATATATATATATATATATATATATATATAAGTAAAACTTATGAAAAGGCTATATGATATTTTTGTATACCCAATCTAAATTGTATAAATTTTATCCATTTGTCCCAGATAGCAAAAAACTTCTCTTGCGTTTGTTGCTTTAAGAAAGCCGAAATCTTTGCCATTTCCGCCAGATAAGCTACTTTAAAAAACCATTCCTGCAATGTAGGCAAAGATTCCTTCTTCCAATATTGTCCAACTAACAGCCTCGCGGCTGTGAGCAAATTTAACATCAATACAACCTCCTTTGTATCACAATCTGTAACAATACCTAACAAAAATAATTGCGGAGTAAATTTTACCCTCCTTCTAAAAATTCTCTGGATATTCCACCATATTTTGATCCAAAATGCTTTTATCTCTCTGCATGACCACCAAATATGATAATAGGAAGCCTCCTTATAACCACATCTCCAACATTTGGGTTGCACGTCAGGGTACATATAAGACATTTTTTGTGGATCAAGGTGCCATCTATAAAACATTTTATAAAAATTCTCCCTTAAATTCTGTGCTTGAGTAAATTTGACATTTCTCACCCAAATAATTTCCCAGGTGTCCAATGAAACTGGCTCACCAAAGTTCTGCGCCCATCTAATCATACAATCTTTAATTAGTTCCGTTTCTGAGTCCAATTCAACTAAAACCCCATAAATTCTCTTAATGTGGGTTTGTCTTTGATCCTTCAGTTGCTTAATAAGATTTTCATCTTCTCTAAGAAAACCCACCTTACAATCCATCTTCCATCTATCTAGTAGTTGCCTATATTGGAACCAAGAATAAGTAAAATTTTCTTGTGCTAATTCTTCCCGTGATTTTAATTGCCAGTTTTGTCCATCCCATTTAAGTAACTGTCTATAAGTCACCATATCCATTTTAACCCCTCTTTTTATTCCTTCTATCGCATGCCAAGGTATAGCCCATAATGGTACTTTAAAATCACTTTTATAATATTTTCTCCAGATCCTAAGTAAAGAAATTCTTAAAATATGAGATTTAAAAGCCCAATCTATTTTTTTATTAAATATTAAATAGGCATGCCACCCATAAAGTAAATCCCATCCCTCTAGATAAAGTATCTCAGAGTTTGTCAAATTTACCCAGTCACTAATTAATGTTAAAACCACCGCATCATAATATAATTTCAAATTTGGTACCTTGAGTCCACCCCTCTCACGGAAGTCTTGCATAATTTTGAACTTAACCCTTGGTTTTTTACCTGCCCAAATAAATTTATTGAGACCCTTCTGCCACTCATTTAAATTAATCTCATTTTTCAAAATTGGTAACATTTGAAACAAGAAAAGAAACTTGGGTAGAATATTCATTTTTATCACTGCAATTCTTCCCATGAGGGATAATTGCAACTTTTCCCAATTTTTCAAGTCTTTCTGTACCCTGACCCACAACCTTTCATAATTATTTTTAAATAATTTTGCATTAGAAACAGACAGCATCACCCCCAAATATTTTACCTTATTAACAGCTTCCGGTGGGAGGCGACGGCGATGGCGGCTAGCTTTTAGCCGTCCAGCTGGGGAAGTGTCAGAGCCGCGGAGCGCAGCGCGCATCAGCTGGCCCGCGGCTCGGAAATCCCTTCCCGGGCAAAGGGAAGGGATAGAGAACGCAAGAGTAGAGGTAGAACCCCTGAACCCCCTCTGGATTTATTTCTAGAGGGGGTGAAAGGAGTGTTCCCTCGGAGCTCTTGCTGATCTCCGCCTCCCAGCTGTTTTTGCTTCCTAGGAAGCAAAAGAAACCGCCGCTTCTATCTCCGTGTTTACAGCATTTTGGTGAGTAATTTTTAAACGGACGGAGCAGTTTAAAGGATTTTTTGTTATATTTTAGGTGTTTATTTTTTTTATCTTTTGATTTTTACTATTTTTCCTCCTTTTCTTTGTTATACTAGTGAAAGGACTTAAGATGGCGTTTTGAAAGTGTCGGAGTTTTTTTTTCCTTTCTCTTTTGTTTTACTTTCCCTTTTTAAGGACTGTTTTTTGCTTTTGCTTTTGCTTTTGGCTTAGAATTTTTTCTTTTGAATTGTTTGCTCTTTTACTACTTATTCTTGGGATTTATTTTGGACTTTTAATGATTATAGTTTGTCTCTTTTTAAAAATTCTTTTTTTCTTTTTTTCCTCCTCCCTTTTTGGCTGGATGGGAAAGGGAAGTGACAATTGTGCTTTTTAAAATGGCTTCAAAGAGGCAGCAGCCTTCCTCAATACCCAAGGTTATTTCTTCTCCTATAACTTCCACTGCACAGTTACAACAACAATCTAAACATGCACCACCGGCTCAGCCACCACCCTCCCCTCCTCTACCTGGACTTTCAGTACAAGAGGTTAGAGGCATAATGGGAGAGATTGTAGTTCAAATGAGAGAGGAAATGACTCAATTTGTTTCACAGATTAAATCAGAAATTAAATCTGATCTCAAAGAAGAGATAACGGGGATAAAGTCTAAATTGCAAGAAAATAATAATGAATTACGACAAGATATACTGGCAGCTGTTTCAGGTTTGGCTACTGTGGTGGTTAAGCTCGATGCAAGGCTTGAGGAAGTGGAAGACAAAGTTGACTCTTTAGATGACAAAATTCAAGACGTGGAAAGGAAGGTGGACTCCTCACAAGAAGATATTTTGATGTTTCAGTACAGACAGATGGAGTATGCTCTGAGGATTAGAGGCCTCAAGGAAGATATGAATCAAGATTTGATGGAGGTGGTTCTTAGTGATCTGGCGCTGGCTTTGGATATGGATAAAGGAGAATTACAGAGAGAAGTGGAAAAAATTTATAGACTCAACTCCTGGATTGCTAAGCAGAAGAATTTGCCCAGAGATGTGGTGATTTACTTTACAAAGAAGTCCCTGCGGAATGAGATTATACAAGCTTTTTACAACAAAAGATTTCAGATTGCCGCCCAAGATGTCATCATTCTAAAGGAAATCCCATCTAAAATTTTAAGAAGTAGGAAAGACTTTGCTTTTTTAACCAATGAGCTTAAAGCTAGATCGATGCCATTCAGATGGGAAATTCCGATGGGTATCGTTTTGAGCCATGCTGGGACACGTTACAGATTGAACACAGTTGACAAAGCTAGAGATTTCTATACTTCGGTCCTGAGTGCAGGCTCAACTTCATCTGGTCGGAAATCTTTGAGTGCTAAGGAACCTGAGCAGCAATCTGAGGCACTAGATTTGGTTTCCGCAGGGATGATAGAAGTGGCAAAGCAACGCCAAACAGAGGCTAAAGAGCAGAGGATGACTCGTGCAGCCTATAAGCGTAAAGAGAAAGAGCAACGTAAAAAAGAGCCCAAAGAGAATTCTCCTGGAAGTGCATCACCGCCGGTGGGAGGAGCAAGACCCAAGAGTTATGCAACACACGCAGCTCTGTCAGAGTTTGATGGTGTCTTCTCCAGGCTGCGTGCCAAGGGAGATGGCAAAGTTTTTGACCTGGAATGTTAATGGATTGAATTCTCCTCAGAAACGGAAAAAAATCTTTTATTATTTGAAACAACATACCAATGATGTTATTTGTTTACAGGAAACTCATATTCTACTTAAAGATCAGAAATATTTAGTTAATGCTCGTTTGGGATCTCATTTTATATCTCCTGCACCTGGGAAGAAAGGGGGAGTTGTTATATATGTCAAACAAAACCTGCCAGCTTGTCTGGTAGAATCAGATCCCCAGGGGAGATATGTGATGATTGAACTTGGTATTTATGGTAAGAAAGTACTTATAGTTGGACTTTATGCTCCAAATCAACAACAGGAACAATTTTATAAACAGTTACACCAAAAAATAACTTTGCTTGATTATAGATCAGTGGTATTAATGGGTGATTGGAATGGTGTCTTAGACACACAAAGGGATAAGAAAGGTTCCTCTCCTTTTCTTAAACAAGCAAGGCTACCTAAAGCCTTTTTTGATATGAAAGAAGACTGGGAATTAAGGGACTATTGGCGGGAACGTAATCAAGAGGAGAGAGACTTTACTTTTTTTTCTGACAGACACCAATCTTTTTCAAGAATTGACTTTTTCTTGATTACCACGGATTTGTATAATAAAGTAAAGAATGTAAAGATTTTTCCTAGATCACTGACGGATCATAGTCCAGTTTGGATGGAGTTGATTCAAGAGAAAGAGGAAAGAAGATCCTGGAGAGTTAATGAAAATTTGTTTAGACAAGAGAAGAATGTTCAAAAACTAAAGGAGTGTTTAAAGGACTATTTTGCTTTGAATATGTACAAGGGGACTTCAATGTCAATGGTATGGGATGCAGGTAAAGCATTTATGCGCGGTGTTTTGATAAAAATGAATAATTTTTATAAGCGAAATCAGATTCAGAAACGTAGAGAACTTGAAGATGAAATTAAACTAAAAGAAAGGGCTTTGATTCTAAATCCTTCTGATGAAAGTACTAAAGAATCTGTAAAGTTATTAAGGTCACAATTTAATATGTTGATAGCAGATCAAGCTGCAACCAATTTATTATTTATGAAACAAAATACATTTTGTAATGCTAATAAGCCGGGGAGATGGTTGGCTTATCAATTAAGAAAGAAACAGAGACAGAGAATAATAGAGAAAATAAATTATAAGGGTAAACTAGTTTCTC